ATACACATACATATATACATACGTACATATACACTTATACATACATATACATATATATATGATATAATATATCGAAAATTATATTTTGATATAATCAACTTACAACAAATGCGCCTCTAAATTTGTCAGGTGCCTTCGAATTACTCGTGCCTTACGGTTTTAGCGTGAGGAGGAATTAAGAATCAAAAGCGTCACCAAGTATCTTTCATTGATGAAGCGTATGTATTTATTGTATTGTATTTGTACGAAATTGTGCGGAAATAATGTACCAGTGCCCTCCTCACGCACAACATCAGTATTTCAACTATTCCTTATTTATTATTTCTATTGTATCGCAATGACACGAAGAAACTTCGTGTGTGCCGTCTCTATGCCTTCCCGATTACATACTTTACAAAAATGTTATTTCTCTCGTCGCATTCTTGCGTGCAATCAATATATAATTCGCACAGCCGAGGACTTCACGATTATTTGAACACGCTGTGTTGCTTATCGATATATTATCTTACATTTATTAGTATGTACACGGTCAACATCGAGAAAGAAATAAAAAGAAAGCACACGGTTTCTTCGATGTGTGGCAGCTCAGAATGACGCGACAGTCATAGAATCAGTTTATTGGCATTTTCATGTTGCAAACAATTACGATAATATTATTAATTCTGTATATTTTACGACACGCTTTTTTTCTCATTATTATCAACTTTTGTCTGAAATGACCACATCCGTCATTGTGATTTATCGAGAGGAAACGAATGGAAGAAAAACAGAGAGAAAGAAAGAGTGTGCGTGTGTATGTGTATGTGTGTACGTATGAGTATCCATAGCAGAGAATCGGAGAACGAGAGTGGAAATGTATGATCTTAGTGTCTGAGGAGTGCAAGAGAAAGGCATTGAGATACCAATCCTTTTTTTGTACGTTAAGAAACGCAAAAATTATTGTATTAAATATTGTATCATATACACACACACACACACACACACACACACACACACACACACACACATGCCTATAGATTGTATGAAACGTGTCAAATAACATAAAAATGCCCATTTTGGCATTCGCAACATTTTGACACGCTTTATATAATATAGAATCTTTACCGAATTTGAGAGAAAATATAAGAGATTATTTTAAAACAAGTCCCCCTGTTATTATTGCCCCTACTCATTAAATTTCTTTTTTTAAAGTTATTCACGTGCAATTGTCATTTGTTATCGGCTGCGAATCTACAGAATGTTACAAAATATTGTCTAGTGTAAAGAAATGTGAATGAAATGTTATTATTTTGATACGATCATTAATTTGAAATAATCAAAATATATAATATATATGAATAATAAAATACATTTGTTGGACCACCAAATTTTGCTTGAAAAAGTAGATTAAATCGTTTGAAATTATTTTATCGATATAAACTAACAATAATATTAAGATCAACATTGAAAGTATATTATAAGTTTTTGATTTCTTTTTAAATTGCGTATAATGAATTATTACATTTTGTACTAAATTATTGGATATCGTCGACATGTTATCTATCATATCTATATGCGACATTTATTAATCTTTCCCAAGATTCTGAGAAGCCATGTGTATTTTTTTTATCTAGAAAGACATGATTTTATCAAATAACTCAAAGAAAGAGTATTGCATTAGCACATTTGATGCAATAGCTCTTTCTTTTACTGATATGATTCACGAAGTCTCTCACGCGATTTTACAAATCTTACAAGCATTTATCTTTCTGCCGCGAGTAGTTCAGTAGTTACACGTGACGCAGTATGAGAGAGAAAAGTTCCATTCTCTCATTACATTGATTCAAGATTCAATATTTCCGCTTAGGTCATGAAACAACGAACATAGACAAATCGAAAAATTACGAATAATATTACGAATTAAATTTTTCCTATCGTCGCTTTGACCTTTCACATTCGAAAATATTTTTATCGTAATATTGATAAACAATTACGTCAATTTCTATCTTGTAATATCAAGGCCATCTGTGAATCTATTCAGTTAAATTAATTTTGTCTTACATTCCCAATATATATAATGGCTTTAATATGTATAATAGTTTCTGATTAAAAGTGATTAATTGTTTTTGTGACAAAGGAAGATCACAATATTTATAATTTTTTGTTTTTAAAAGGACATATATTTCAGAGAATTTTATGTTTCTAGCGATTTTGCAATTGCTCTTGGTAGGAAAAGAACGGGTAGAGGAAATCGGTTCTTAAGAAACAGCAAGCTGGAACTGTGCACTCCTCTCGCAATTAGTGATTTACGTAATTTCGCGCACGACCTGCGCGGAGCAACTTGCGAGTTGTAGACTGCGTTCCTGAGGAGGAACGCGCTCGCTCGTCTCGATATCTCACTCCCGGCACTCTTCTCACCGCGCAGATTAGAGGCGCGATGGTGATAAGCGCGAGCCAAGTCATGGAGGCTCACGCACATCGGTACGGTCTTCGTGCACCGATATCCCGCGCCGATGCACCGATTGCATTGTTTCCGTTATCGCGTCCGATTGGCAACTCGTGCAACCGCAGTCTCACGCGTTGTTAGGCTCTCCAGGCACGCATCCAGGACGCTCAATTTCGCGTAATACGGCAGCACACGCATGCACACGTGCATAAAAACACGTGCGTAAAAAAGACTCTCGCGCATGTTTGTTTTGTTTCTCATAATTTCCGTGTAAATTCTCTTGTAAATTTTTTTTTTTTTTTTTTTTTTTTTTTTTTAAGAAAATT